CGCTCTCCCATCGGGTTGGATAACATCGACCTCAACGGCGACTCCGCCGTCGCCGCCTCCTACCCCAACCTGGGCATGTACACGCAGCTTTTTCATCCCGGGAGTGCGGCCGGCCATGGTGTGCCCCTCCAGCAGACCAGATCGGACGGCGTGGCGCAGCGGCAGGGTCGTCCACCTCGCCAAGGTCTCCTCCCAGTGAGGGCCCCAGATCGTCGTGGCAAGCAGGTCGTCGCGACGTCGGGACGAGGTGGTGCTGGTTCAAGTCGCACAGGCAGCGGCAGGCAGCGGCAGGCAGCATCGATCATGGTAGAAGATGTTGAGGAAGAAGATGAACCAGCTGAAGAAGATGTTCAGGCAGAGGAAGACGACAGCATGCTGAACCAGCATATCCAGGTACAATATTTGTCCAATTGTTGTGTTTACTTGAATGAATGTATGTGAAGTGAAAAGTAGGAAGTAGAAAATCGAATTGGAATCGAATTGGAAAATCTCAGAAAATCTCAGAATTGAAACAATTCTTGTTGGACAAATGAAACTACTGCAAGGCTAACTGGACACATACATGGTTGTGGTGCCACCAAACAAGGTTCCACAGTATTTAAGCAGACATGGTTACTGTAGTCAGAATGTTATGGTTGTGTGTGATTTCGACATGAGATTCACTTTTGCGCTTGCGGGGTGGCCTGGATCGGTCCATGATATGAGGCCATTCAAGGATGCTCTTAGCCGGTTTGATCACAAGTTTCCACATCCACCTTCAGGTACGAAACTTGATACTCAGTACAATAGGTTTATGCCTTACATTGACATTTGCTAAAATGCATTGCCATGAACAGGGAAATTTTATCTTGTTGACTCGGGCTACCCCAACAAACAGGGTTATCTTACACCGTATAGGGGCCAAAAGTATCATTTTCAAGAGTTCCATCAAGGCACCATGCCGAGAGGTAAAAAGGAGCACTTCAATTATACTCATTCTAGACTGCGCAATGTCATTGAGCGTTGTTTTGGAGTCTTGAAAAATAAGTGGAGGATTCTTTTCAAAGTACCAAGTTATCCTCTACGCAAGCAAACAAAAATTATTGTGGCATGCATGGCCTTGCATAATTTTATTCGTGAAAGTCATTTGGCGGACAAGGAATTCGATAGGTGTGACAATGATGAGAGTTATCAACCTCTCCTTGAGGAAACAAGGAGGAGGAGGCGTCGTAACACTAGGGGTGAAGAAATGGAGCTAGATTCAGTGGATATGAATCGAGTGAGAGATACGATTGCTGATGGTTTGTTCAACAGGCGTTGAGAAATTTCTGATGTTATTTATTTCGTTTCCAACATGTAACGTTATGGGACAATTTTAGTTTTCTTATGTGTGGACAGTTTTGATTTCCTTGTGTGGACAATTTTGATTTCTTATGTATGTACATTTTTCATTGTGCTTTTCGTGAGGGATAGTCTGGTGCTTGTGTTGCTTGCGTGAGGAGAGAAAAAAAAGGTATTGAGAGCTGGTGTTGCATGGCGTGAGGGAGAAAAGGAACAGGACTTTGCTGCTTTCCTTCCTTGCGCGGGAGTATAGCGGTAGTTGCTGTTGCATAAGGGAGAGAAAAGAGATAAATGGAAGGGAGAGAGAAGAATTTAATATTGAAATATTTAATGCTGACTAGTAGTAGTCACCTTCCAAATAAGGCCTGACTAAAAACTTTTAGTCTAACTACTACTAGTCACATGACTAGAGAGTATCCAAACACCCTCATATACTCTCTCTCTCTCCCTCTCCATCCATTTTTACAGGGTCCATACTCTAGAGTGGGTCTTAAGTCTTTGAGTTGACCTCGACCTCGAGTGTCTTAATGGCACCACTGCGCTAATCCAGCATACTCCCTCGGTTCCTTTGAACAAGTCGTAAATTCTTTGTCATTTCCTCAAGGAGAGGCCAGCAACGTGGAAGCTTTCCTATATTGTCCCTGAAAAGTCGGATCTCCCGTTACGCATTAATCTCTCGTGTCTTTGGCTTCCTCCTCGGTTCTCGCCAGTACTAGTACCTCTTTGTGTGTATATTAGGCTGGTCGTAATGATAGTATCATAGCCAGTATCATGCATGTCAACTATACAATTTTGACAAGGTGCCATTGAATTAAATGAAGAAAGAGAGTGTTGAGTATCATATCATGATACCGTATCATTATAAATGATATGCTAATATGTGTCATGCATGATAATAAATAAAGTAGTAAATAATACTAATATATGATACTATGCATTAGGGAGGTACTATCATACACTAATATCATATGCATGATACTAGTATATGATACTCCTCATTACAACCAGCCTTATTTGCCATCGTATTTCATTAGCAAAATATTAATACATGTCATCATAATTTATATTGTTTGATTTGTATTTGAATGTAGTTTTCAATGATATTGTTTTTGCTAAGTATAGATTATGTCCTATTAGTTAAAATTATGATCAAAATATGATCCAAATTATGAAAGGACTAGTAAATCAGAATGGAGTACTACCTCCGTCTCGATGAATAAATCATTCGCGTAGTTCTAGGTCGACGATTTAACTATCTAGATATGTCATTCGTGTAGAAATCTAGTGATATATTTTTCATGACATATAACATATATTTAAATCCTTAAATCGATGACTTAGAACTGCGCGAATGATTTAATCACCTATATTACTAGCTAGTAGGAGTAGTTGTAATAAGCTATCACTAGTGTGAACCACAATAAAAGATTGGGAAAGTTGCAGTCGAGTGCGCATTGTCTGGGCCTGTTCCATGTCAGATGATTGTCAGGCCATATGTGGTTTAACTTTCTTCCGGTTATTAATGATATGAGACAATTTTATCCGGTTGTGCTGCTGTGTGCATGCGACCTTGTGCAGCAGAAAAGACAAAGAGAAAGTGTGCACTCCATTATCTCCTTTCTCGTACCCAGTCCATCGGATTTGTCAACGAAAATATTTTCAATAAAAAAGCAGACATACATGACCTGGTATATACACTACTATCAAAGAAAAAACAATCAGCGTTACGTCTAGCAGATACAAACGGAGAGAATGGCGTTTTATCACACTCACTAGATCAGTGCTGGTGTGTTGCAACGGGGACATACATCTTTTAGTAGTGTCTAACATATAGTACTTTTAGGATCCTCGTTGTCAACATTACAAGTTACTATGTTCTTCTTTCTTTCACACACTACCTCTATCATACAAATCCAAGTTCACAATGCCCCCTTCCACAAACACTTTAAACTATGGGCATGAGTCGTTGCAACACCACACTATTGTATAGTTGAAACGACAACATGAGCCGTTGCAAAGCCGCTCCCTGACTCCAGAGCATGACAAACAACATGATGGTTAATGCCCCTGACTCCAGAGGATGACAAAATGATAGTTAATCTCCCCGACTCCAGAGCATGACAAAAAGTTTCAAGTAAATTAA